GGGAAAGAGAGAACTGTCTTTGGTTTTTTTTCCTGTGCAACCCAAACAGTCCGTATGTGGCCCCTTGGGTATAAGACCATTTAAAATGAAGCTCCATGTGACACAGGAAGATGTCCATCAATCCTGTAGCGTTTTGTTATCTGAACACCAGTATGCCTTTTTGGAGGTGTAATAAGAATGACTCTCTGAATTTAATATGTTGGTTGCAGTGTTTTTCCTTCCCCTTTTTTCAGGCTTTGCAGGGAGTTAGGTTGTCCTAGGTAAGAAATACATCTGGGCAGGAGCCAAAACATGTGAGGGGATTCCAATAAATATTCCTGGCAGCAAAACTGACTAGTGGGTCATTTTGTTTTCACTCACTCAAACCCTTTTAGCCTCCCCTGCACTTAAGGGGTCATGCTGCCTCATCTGTTCTCTACCTGGATCCTTTCCCATAAAACAAGGGAGCAATTTGCCAAGTGTATGAGGTAAGTATTTCCAGAGTTGCAGTCAGCTTTTTCTTTTGCTTAAAACAGAAGAACGAGCTCAGGCTTAAATGTGGGCAGTTGGCCATGAACTGGGAAGAAGACCCCTTTGGGACCAATCTCCCTTTGTGTATATCTCTTCCAGAAATATTTCAGCTAGTTTTCCCGAAGACTTCCTTTTCCTTCAGTGTGATTCCATGAAGAGAGCATCTTCTAGGATCTCATCACAAAAGAGTTCAAAAATTAAAATTCTCTCAAATTCTTTGGTTGGTAGTAAAACAGGCTGTCTGTTTTGTGTGACACGCTGATGGAAGTTGAGTTTGTTCAATCATGTTGTATATATGCACCCTATATCTGGCCTAGGCTTTCTGCTTATGCCACTGGTGATGTGGCTGAATATATGCCAATTGAATAAAGGCAGGATGATGGGGTTCTTTTGGCTCCTTTGCAAACTAGAGGCAAGAAACTGTTTTGCAAATATAAGTGGTTGAAACTGGTTACAAGGAGAAAGAGACTTGTATACAGCAAAAAGTAAAAGGTGTTTAAAGAGGTCCCATGACTTTGAGATGTGCATTTGTCATGGACAGAGCTTCCTATTCGGAGCTCCAGAGGTAGCTACTTCCTGGTACGTTAGTGCCTGCTGTGGGCTGAACCTCAGTAGAAGGTATTTACATAGGTAGGGGGAATGGTTGGATATCGGTGCTGGATCGAGCTGTAAAGATCACAAGTTAAGGAGTCATCTTCACTCGTGAGTTCCTCACCTGCTGTAGTTACACATTTCTTCTAATGTCTTCTAATAAAACCCTCCTCCGTGTGTCTAGTAAAACACTGGAGAAGCAAACAGAGTAACAGTTGCTTCTCAGATTTTCTTTCTCTTGCTTTTTTTACACTATTGCTCTGTGGCTGTTAGGTCTGCGTTCCACTCTAAGGAGCAGATTCAGTGGACAGTTTGTTTTGGAAATGTAATTGTTCCTTGGGCTTCTAGTTAGGATCTAATTACCTTAATTATATTGTGATTGACCAGGTTTTTTCTCATCAGAGACAGTTGTCAGGGCAGAATGGCTTTGGGAGAGAAGGGCTAGCAAGATGGTATGTTTTTGATCTAGCCATCCTGTTACTCCTTGTTCACTGGGTTTTCTCACTCTTGGATCCTCTGTCTTCTTCTGTAGCCAAGCCAGATCGTCCTGGAAGAAAACATCCTGGTTTCTCGTTACATCAGCAACCCCCTGCTCATAGATGGTGAGTGTGTTAGGAATTGGTTCTCCCTCTTTGTAGTTTCTAGGACCTGAGGATCTCTGCAGCCTTTGCGAGAATTTAGTTAATTGAGTGGTCAGTCTTCCTGTAGTACCAGGAAAATGTGACTAGAAAATTCCTTAAAACCAGGAAGCTTTTCAACTGGGAAAGCTTCTGGCACCCTCTGTCAGCAACAGGATTGTTTACTCTTCTTACTGCTCTTAGGGTCTGCTAATTTTTCTTTCTTTTTTTCTTCTTCTTTTTGTTTTCTTTCCCTCAACTGGATATGATCTCTGTAAGATACAACCACTGACTCTTGACAACTCTATTTCAGATTTCAAATTCGATGTGCGCCTGTATGTTCTGGTTACATCCTATGATCCACTGGTCATTTATCTCTACGAGGAAGGACTGGCCAGGTAGGGGGAGTTTCTTCCTGTTCTAAACTCCTGAAGAGTCTTGTATGTCTTTTTATTATAGTTTAAACAAATCAAATCTAATCATAGTGTCCACTTGCATGAAAAGTGGAAGCTATATGGGCAAGACACCAAAGTTACTAATGGATGCAGCAAGTATTTATCCTTTCCTTCAATTGCATCCCATCTTGTAATTCTTTTTGAGAGGTAGCTAGCATATGGAGACTAACCATGGCCCTAAGGTCTTCATGCTGCTTTTTGATACTGTCGGCTGTACCGGTCTTAGTGTACAAATGTGGAATGGTGTAGAGGGAGTAACTGAGCTGTTATTTCTTGTCAAAGGACGGTCCTGACTCTGGAGAGTGACTGTAGTTCTGTTACTGAACTTAACTCCTCACTGAGTAACTTCAGCTATAGCTTCCACCACAGCTAAAAGCTTGTAGCAAGAGTTGTGGCTGAATGTCTTCAAATGATAGGTATGAATTTAAACAGCCAATATCCTTAATGATTCTTCAACTTTTCCCTTCTTTGGAGGCTCTAGCGTTAGTGTGTTTGTGCAGCAAGCGCTGGCAAGCCTTCTTGGGAGGACAGTGCTCTCGGGTGTGAGCGGAGGTGACAGAAAACTTGGGAGAGGGGCTCTGCTCTGCTCTGTGGCCTCCAGATGGCACTAGTGGTCTTTGATTTCAGTGATTTGGGTTTTTCGCATGCCCTGGATTTGTGAGTTCAGACATTTGGAGAGAGGTAAGGATCATGGAGCTACTGGATTCTGGCTTTCTGTTTGTCTCTTTGGCCTTTCATTTAAGTGTGGTGTTAAATGCTGGGAGAGACTCCTTTATTGCCTTACACAGTGTAACACTTTGGTTTAAAGCTGAGACAAATCTTTCATTGTGCAAGGGAAAAATGCCTTAGCCTTTGGGAGTGGAAGCTGGTTTTCATTCTTCATTGTAACAAAAGAAGTGTTTAAAAATAGAAGCACGGTGTAGCAAGGTATTGGGAGGTAAAATAGGGACCTGTAGGCAAGGAGGATGTTAAAGCAATCTTAAAGGGAAACCCACAAGCAGAGCGAAGGAATCCGATTTAGGGACCTTCATTAGTGATTGTGTGGTGCTGTGGTGATTTCCATGTTCCGAGTTTGCTTTCTGAAAGTGTAGGTAGTCTCTTCAAATACAGTCAAGGTGACCTTTTCTGGGTTGTCCTTTTGAAATGTTCTTTTTCCCCTGATTTCTTTTGTAGTTTTTTGAAAGATAATGTTCCCTCTGGTGTTACGCTTTAAGTATTCCAAACAGAAGAAGAGCTTGACTATTTGAATCAAGTTGGTGACCTCTACCAGAAAAGGAGTGCTATCAGGAAACCATGAAATATAATGATTTTCTTGAAAATGATGGGACTTGATATTATACTCATTTGTGACTTGATGTTTGAATAGATACTTCCTTAGGTTTCTGTTGGCACAGCTAGACTTGTCATGACGTGATCTAGAGTGGAATTTGAGGCCTTAGTGCTGAGCAGAAGAAAGGGATTAAGGGCCCAAGCCTATGTTACTTGTGTTTCACTTTCCATGTGAAAGGAAGAAAAAAATTTCCTTTGACAGAGGTGAAGGAGATCTGAAGGGTTTGTCTCCTGAGGTGTGTAACAGAGCTTTCAGCTATTGTTGCTTGATCTGTTTTAGAAGTTCTGAATAACTGTTTTGTTTGCCTGGTTGAAGTTGTCTATTCAATGCAATTTTTGAGGAAGATGTTGACCATAAATAGAAGCTTCTTTCTTTATCCCCCAGAAGAGTATTGAAAACAACTTAGGAGGTGCTGATGCTGAGCAGGTTTCTCTGTGGCTGTCTACCACGTTTCCCCCCTCTATCCCCCTGCCCCTGTGAAGAAGGTGCATTTTATGAGGACAGAGCCTTCGGTCAGCAGAGGCAGGTAGCAGACTTCTAGAGAATTACTAAGTATGATATCAGGAAATGCGCTCTACATTTTAATGCTTCCTTACAATACTACTTTTGTGGTCTTGCCTGCATCAAACCTCCATTTGCCTATTTTGGGTCTAGTCCACCTCTAGAAGGAACGCTGCTAATCGATTTCATTTGGAAGATGTGTTAGGGGGTATTTAGTGATCTGTTTTTGCTTTTTCCTTCAGGCTTACAACAAGACTGAAGCTGTGCCTAAGGCATAAAGCAGCACTGGGTGACTTAAAAACCCGTCTGTTTGATTGAAATTTTTGGTGTCTAATGTTTTTCTTATACATTTAAAAACATAATAGAGATAGGCAAAGCATTCTGCCTTACATCTGATAAATTGGCAAATATTTAGTAACTCAGTACCACAAAGGACAACTATCATCTACTCTGGTCATCTGCAATTTGCAACATGCAAAGATTCTAGCTGAAGTTCTACATCAAAGCTATAGCTTTGGATTGACTTAAGGCATATATTCTAGAAAGAGATACAGTCTTGGCTGAAGGTCTGACACAATCATCTAATCATGTTACAAGTCTATGCAGTTTTATTTATTCGTGACTTCTAAAGTGTGTGATTTAGAATATATTTATTGACATAGCTTTTAAATTCTAGTTGCGTATGAGGCACAGTCTTAATAAGCTACAGTCTTAATTACAAACTGACCTCAGGAAATGTTCTTAAAGGTGACTTACCATACCCAGCAAATTGTTGTGTGTGCACGAACAGGTGGAAGTCCCAAGACTGCTTTTCTGCGCTTCTGAGTTAAGGGATTATGCTATTTTTTTGGAAGGGGATCCATGTAAGAAGAGAATAATATGCCTGACTTGCATTTGAAATGCAACCAAAGAGGACATAGGGCCAGGAATGAACCAAAGAGGACATAGGGCCAGGAATGGCTTATGCTGTCAGTTTGTGAACTTGCCCTCAGTGCGCGTGTGCGCGCTCGCTCGCTCTCTCTCTCTCAGTGCAGACGTATGGGGAATCAGTGCATGGTGGGGGTAGTTTGTAGTGAAATGGCTCCTTATTTTGGGGAGATTTCTGTACAGTGTATTTTTTTCTTTGCTGAAATTATCAGGTTTAGGCAGCCTTATTTCTGAGCCTGAATGGCTGGAAGGGTCCTAGTCCAACAGGAATTTCTTGGTCAGATAAAAAAAAAAGAAAAAAAATTAAATAAAAAAAAAAAAAAAAAAAAAAAAAAAGGAGGGGGAGAGAGAGGAGCAAAGCTGAGCTGAAAACCAGATGTTCCTGTGAAGGGCCCAAGGAGCAGAAGCTGAGAGAGGAGGTTTTTCCAGAGTGACACAAGAGTTCCAGTAATGCTGGGGTAGGCACCTGGGCTTCATAATGCCCCAGCTCACCCTGCTCAGTGTTTGTAGTGCCCCCTCCTTCAGTAGCCCTGCTTCCTAATTAGCACTGGCTCTGCTGGGATATTTACCTTTTCTGTGCTGGATTCCTGTGGTTTCCAAAGAATTCAGGTGTTTGCTGTGAGCCAAGGAATTCACATTACCTCACAGGCTGTGCTGAGGCCAAAGCCTGCTGCAGCAGCCCGGTCGTCCCTTGCAGTAACCCCTGCCTGGCAGGCCTTTGCTGCTTAGGGATTGTAATTCATTTCTGCATGGATGCCTGGGATCAAACTGCGACCACTTCACTAGATATCACCTCGCACAGGAGCTATGGAGCAGTGCTTTTCACTAGACGGCCCCACTGCGCTTTGGACCAGTGGGTAGTGTATCAGGCCAGAAGAATTTCTACTGCTTGCTTGCTTTTATTAAGATAACCAGGGTTTGAATCACTATGGAGAAAGTTTTGTTTTTTATTTTTAATAGAAATTTACTGCCTATTCAGACATTTATTGCTTCGTTTTAGGCTCGCTGTCTCTCTCTCTCTCTATATGTGTATATATTTAAATCTTGAATTTTCTTATTGTGTAAAGTGGGGGAGATGGGCCTCAGGCCATTACTATTTGTGAGTTACAGGGAAGCCTAGTATATTTCTAAGTCAAGGCATAGTGATGCCCTGAGTTATATCTGTCTGATTCCCATGGCAGACAGCTAGAGATGTGTCTGGGGGATAGCAAGTGGCCCTGCATTAGGGTCCTTGGACTAAAGCTTTCACTTTGAACAAGCTCCTCTTGTTGAGCTTCAGCAAAACAGCTCTTTTGGTCAAAAGAGCTGTTTAAACAAGGAGTGGAAAATGGCTCCTTGACCAACATTTGTATGTTTTGCAGTGATGTAGTTAGAACGCTACCACAGCATATCACCGTTGTCTAGTGAAAAGAATAATGTCTTGTGAGGGTCAGCTATCCCTCTCTTTGATGGTGTGTTTTAGGAAATTCTAAAGGAAAGGTAGCTAAATACTAGTTACCAAATTCCTTTTTTCTCTTCTTTAGAGCCCTCCTCTTTTTTCATGCTCAAGTTACTTTTTTTGCAGTCTTCCTTGAGTCCTTCTCGGGTAGCAGAGGGTGGCCTACCTAGGCACAGAAGGTAGAAGTAGACTTTGTGGGTCTTTATGTGACCCTACTGTTTGACTTAACAGCAGAGTCTATGTGCTGAAGAGTCAGAGAAGCTGGACAGCTCTTGATGACTGCACAATGAGCATCTAGTCACAGAAATAACAGGTTCAAAAGCCTATTAATGGCAGGGCATAACTTGGAAACTCACAAATTCATTTGCCTTTATATCTTTCTGTAATGAATCTTATTTTCTTTCCCTACAGATACCTGGTAAATTTGCTCCTGGACCTTTTTTTTTAATACTGAACTGTTAGAATGAATCTGTCCAGCTTTGGCTAGAGAGACTCTACCATAATAGCGATATCACCAAAACTTCCTTATACATTTTGTATCCCTTACAAGCTTTGGCCTCTGTTCGTACTCGATTGCAAACTAACGAATCAGGTGGATGTTATGAAGAATATTGATGCCAGAGATGGGGGGGGATTATCTCTAGATTTTTTTTTTTTTGCTTTCTCTTTTGTCCTGTACTGCAAGGGAGTAGGGTCCCCAGCTGGCGTTTTAGAGCCCAGACCCTAATACTATTAAGAGTGGAAATA